GCCAAGCCCGAGATCCTGTTTGAGGACATTTACGTCCGCGGCACAGAGCCCCAGTTCATCCGGGGACGTACTCCCGATGAGAACTTCTACTTCCAGCAGTAAAAGAACAGGATGCCGTGCTTTTGACTTGATGTCATCCCCAACCCAAACCCACCACCGAACCACCAGACATTAGCCCTAATGAAATTTCTCCCTCAAAAAAACGGAAAACAAAATTACTTGTCGCCTTTTTCATGTACTATTTTAGTTTTTAGATAGAGAAGGGCGGGAAGGAAATCCAGATGGACAAGCTTTATCCCATGTTCGTTTGAAAGAGAAAAAAAGATTTTCAAAAACCAATATCCCAGACTCTGCTGTTGCTTTTTTGCTTCAAGTGTTTTCTGCTCATTGTTTTCGTCATGGAGTCAGGAGGGTGTTCGTTGTGAGAAGAGTTTGCGCTCAACTGGGGGACGTGCAGACCCTGAAGCTCCGTGATCGCAGGGTAAGGTAGTTGAAGTGGGGATACCGCAAAGGATGTCTTGAGGTTATATGAGGTCGTAATCATAGTCTGATGGACTTAAGAGAGTATATTTCTCGGTGTTTGTATTGCTATATATGCCTTGGTCATCTGTCAGGGGTCAATATCGCCATGCTTTTCAGATCCAGAGCCAACAACCCGGCATCATTCCATGTACGTATATAACCATCAACAGCAGATAGACACATCAACGAGCATGGTGTAGGCAAAAAAAAAGCAAAGCAATCAGCCGCGATAATAAGAGTACAACCTCGCCAACTCCGTCGTCTCCCCAGCAAGCAACTCTTCCGGCTCCCCGTATTCCAGCAGTTTGCCATCCCCCAGAAGAGCAACCTTGTCGTATCGTCGGATGTGTTCCAGCCGATGCATGACTGCGAGGACGGTGCATCCGGCGTCTTTGAAGTCTGTGTCAATGATTTGCTGCATGATTGCTTCTGTCTCTGTGTCGACGCTGGAGCAACTGTTAGCAAAGCATGACATACAAAGGTAGATGGGACGAGATACGCAGAGAGGGGGATGTGAAGTTGAGCTCCCGGGATCGAGTGCCATGTAAATATTTTACCTGCTCATTGCTTCATCCAAGACCAGGATCCTGCTCCTCTTCAACATGGCCCTCGCAAAACAGAGCAACTGCTTCTGTCCACTCGACCACGACTCCAAGTTACCCTCCCCGTCAATGCCCCCCTGCTCATCAACGATCGCCTTCAGCCGCACACGCTCAAGAGCACGTACGACCTCCTCGTCAGAAGCACCATTCAGGGGATCAACGTTGAAGCGTACAGTGCCTGGCAAGAGGAACGGATCCTGAGGCACAACGTTGATGCGCGAGCGTACTTCTGCGTGGCTGAGCGTGGAGAGGTCGACGCCGTCTATGGAGATGCTGCCTTCGACGATTTCGGTCATTTGCAAGAGCGATAGGATGAGAGAGGTTTTGCCGCTGCCTGTTCGGCCGCATATGGCAACGTGCTCGCCGGGCTTGATTGATAGGGTTATGCCGTTCAATACCGGTTGGGAATTTGCCGCGGTACTGGATGTGTGAGTCAACTGCTAGGTAAGCAATGTCTTCGTGAGGACGCCAGACTGAGAACAAGTTACTGACCCGTACGATGCGGTCCAACCCGCAAAATCAATAGCACCAGAGTGCGGCCATGTAGCAGGCACATAAGCCCCCTTCTCATCCCG